GGTTAGAATATTTATCTTCTTGATGTTGAGCTTCAATCCATATTGAAGACTACAGTCCTTGACCTTCTGCAGCAAGTGCTTTAGGGTCCTCCTCATTTGTGGCAAACAAGGTTATGTCATCTGCATAACATAGATTTGTTGATGAGTCTTCCTCCAATCCTAATGCCATATTCCTCCTCATAAAGCCGAGCCTCCCAAATCTGTTCTGTATATAGATTGAAAAGCTATGGATACACTGATGCACTCCTTTCCTGATTTTAAACCATGCAGTGTTTCCCTGCTCTGTTCTGAAGACTCCTTCCTGATCCAAGTATATTCTCCTCAAGGTTAACCACAATTTGTTGTGATCCATACAGTCAAATGCTTTTACATAGTGAGTCAAACACAAATAGTTATCTCTCTGGTACTCACTGCTTTCTGCCAAGATCCATCTGACATTGGCAATAATGTCTCTAATGCCAGGACCTCTTCTAAACCCAGCTTGTATTTCTGGTAGTTCTCTGTCAATGTACTGTTCCAGTTGTTTCTGGATAATCTTCAGCAGGATTTTGCTTGCATGTAATATGAGTTATATTGTATGATAATTTCTACTTTCTGTCAGGTTATCAGAGACATTAGTTAATTAATTGGTAAAGGATACTTACTGATGGTTGGGTGGGTAAGATGTAAAGGGGAGTTGTAGTGGTGCTCCAAGTTTCTGGGAGTGACAGACCAGATGATTTTCCACTACCAGTGGAAACAATCCCCTGCACAAACAATCCCCAATACATAGCAAAGTTAAGAATTGCATAGGCTAACATGTATTGGAAAATGCTAACAATACCTAATGCTTAGTTGAAAAGAAAAGCCATCACCTACTTCATGTGTATCTAGTTCTGCAACTATAGCTAAACACAATAGAAGGAATTAACAGTTTTCCCTCATTCCAGGAAGAAACTAGAAAAAAACAAGTCTAATAAGAACTCATTTTAACATAATTGTAGCCATTTGGGGAGATTTCTAGGATCTACCATGCACATGCTGTTAAAATCATTTAATCTATTTTTTCTTTATTTTCTGGTAGGATTTAGAAGAACTGAATTATGAAAAGGCATCAGACAACATTATCATGAGACTGATGGCATTATCATTCCAATACAACTATTGTTGGATAATTTTCTATTCAAAAAGAACATTTTACTCAGAGTAAGTAAACATTTTTTTCACTCAAAGCCATGCTCATATTTCTCAAATGATTTTGCCATCTTCTTTAAATAGAACTAGCTATTCAGATTTTCTGTTTGATCATCATTTTAAATCAGGGATTTTCAAGGAAGCTTAAATATGCTCATGGGAAGACAAATTTGAATCTAGAAATGATCCATTTTCCATTAGACATTCTGTGCAGATCATATCCCACTTATCTTCACGTCATGAAGAATTATGGCTTTAAGAGTTTAGTTGTTATTAACTTAAAATTCTATACTTGTCTGCTAAAAAAGGAAGTCATTCTTAATTTTTCCATCTAGTACCTTTCTTTCATTGTATACTTCTCTTAAAGATTACAAAAAATACACAGCAAGAAACTGGCTCGCATTTACTATATGTATCACCTCTCTTCTACATCTAAATTTTAAAGAACTGGTTCCACGTTATCATTTTATTGCTGAGTCAGACTTTTCTACCTTCTTCTGTACGCTTTCTGTCTCTCAAAGGTTATTAATGACTCTTATCGTCACTTTTAAAGATATTCTTAATTGCTCTCAAGTATTTAACATTGCTGTCAGTAGGTTACATTATTATTATATAACTGTCAAACCTTCGAGAATCACAGGTTAGCCATGTTGATACATAATTCTAACCATCAGAATCACCATTATTCTTATATTCCATCTCATCATTACATCTTACCATTTGTCACTGCCAGACATAATGTTAATGTGCATTATCTTCAGATAGTAGATCTTTCTATGATTGTGTTAAATGTGAAATGCCATATAACAAAATTTAAGTGAAAATCTTGCATTACTTTTAGAAACTAATTGTATTAAAACTCCTTTGGTTGGAATTTGCAGAAACCCACTTTAACTAGTCTAGCACACAAGGGACAGTGAAGTTTGGTTTTGGTTTAGTGGTCCTGAAAGAGATGAATAAAACTACTCTCTCACACATCTTTTTCCTCCCAGCTTTCTGTAGATTTAAGAGTATTGATGGACTAGAGGTGGAAATAGTTTTCAAAAGGGTGTTGAGTGAACAAATAAACATGAAATTGTCATATTGATATTAATATTATCTTAGGTTATTCTAATAACATGATGAAATATGTAAAATAATAAGTATAATCATGAATAGACATATATTAATAGTAATATAATTATTTTTAGGTATCATCTTACAGAAAAGACACATCATCACCTAGCACTGATTTATGCAGCTTTAGTTTCATTTATTCTAAAATCTGTTGAACTGGATGTGAAGGTATATTTTTGCTATGTATTTACAAATAAGTAATTTCCATAAGTCATAATTATTCTAGAAGAAACATTAAAAACTGCTTGAAAGCCAAATGAAGAATAATTTTCTGTCTTTAATATTTAATATTTTATTGTTTTCAGTGACAATATACACAGGAGTTAGATTCCCATTCAAGAATTTCTACACAGATTTTTCCATGACACTGACTACATTCTTCATAATATCTAACCATTATTATCCTTTCTATTCTGATTGTTCTGCTAGTAACAGCTTTAAATTAATATTTTTGCCACATACACTTCTGAAAGTCTTTGATAAATTTAAAATCATACTTATCTTTTAATTTTTTTATTACCACTTAGATTTTTTTTGAAACATGAGAAAATATGAAAAAAAATATCCGTTGTAAAAAAAAAATTCAAATATGGAAGCAGGAATGGCATCCACTTCCATAAGAGCTTGCCCTCTGGAAACCCTATAAGCCTGGAGAAAGGATGAAAGTCACTCAAGTGTTGAGGACTTTCATTCATAGGATCGCTATGAGTCGCCTAAGACTCGAGGACACTTAACAACAACAGCAACATGAAAGATGTAATTTTTGATCTTCAGTAAGTGCTTGAAGTCCTCTTCACTTTCAGCAATTAAGATCCTCACCACTGGGCTAATTTGTAACAGTATGATAGATGAAGAAAAGATTGATGTCAATTTTATCTTACTTGACTCCACAATCAACAGTATCGATACCAGCAGTCGAGAAATCAGGACATATAGCACTGGGAAAGTATGCTGTGGGTGACCTCACCAAAGTACTGAAAATCAGTGATGTCAACGTAAAGACTAAGGTGCACTTGCTTCAAGCCATGGTCTTTTCAGTAACCTGCTATGCATCTGAGAGCTGGACAATGAATAAGGATGATAGAAGAAAAATAAATGCCATTGAGTTGTGGCACTAGAGTGCTAGTGTCCTATGGCCTGCCAAAAGAACAAACAAGTATGTCTTGAAGAAGTACAGCCCGACTGCTCCTTAGAGACAAGATGTGAAGCTTCATTTACATACTTTAGACATATTGTTAGGAGAGGCTATTTTTTGGAAAATGACATCATGCTTGAAAAGGTAAAAGATTAAGGACGGAGAAGAATGATACAGTAACTGAAACAATGAGATAGATTGACACAGAGGCTGCAGCAATGGGATCAAATATATGAGATGATAAAGATGGCACAGGATGGGACAGGGTTTGGACCTATTATTCATAGGATCATTATGAGTTGTACTCAACTTGGCAGCACTTAACAACAACAATGAGATGCCTATTATCATGTCTTTTCAAGTCCCTCTTTAATCTTTCCTATTCCTTCACCCTCTCATCTACCCACTAACCTCAGCTTTCCTAGTCATATTCCCCCTTTCCCTTTGCCCTTCCCTTTTTGAACATTTATACACATCTTACTCAGTTATCCTTATATTTTCACAAGAATATTCTTATGCAGTATTTGTCCCAATGTGACTGGATTATTTAACTTATCATAATACTTTCTAGACTCTCCATATTATATAGTTATATGTTTTAAGAAATTACTATTCCTCTGTGCTGCATGGTATTCCATTGTGTGACTGTATCACAGTTTCTCAATCTCTCCATTTGCTGAGGGGAATTTGGTCTGCTTCCATTAATGGCAATTGTGAATACTGCTACTATGAACATTGTTGTACGTATCTCTGCTTTACTCTCAGTTCTGATTTCCTTAGGGTATATTCCTAGTGGTGGAATAGGTGGACCATATGGATTTTTTATGTTCAGCTCTTTGAGGAAAAGCTAAACTGTCTTCTAGAGTGGTTGCACCATTTTACAATCCCACCAGCAGTACAGATAACACTACTTTGCTTGCTGAAAATGTGAAGTATACAAAATGCTTGTTGCAGGAGATCAAGGACTATATCTCTTGGTATGGATTACATCTCAACATCATGAAAAACAAAGGTCGTCACCACAGGACCGTAGAATAAGCAGTTGTACACAATTTAAAGGGCTGCATTTGCCCAAGAATAATGCCCAGAAGATAGGAAAGAAGAATGAATAGAAACAGGAAATCCAGGGTGGAGATGGGAATAATCTTATAACACCACAGAAATTGTAATCAGATCACAAAACATAATGTGCATGATTTTATGAGTGGAAAACCAACTTCCTCTAAAATTTTTCACTCAAATTACAGAGAATAAAAAAAT